TTTTATAATGTTGCTGATGTTTTGTGTGCTTTATTCCTGAAAGCCACTGGTACGTAAAAAGCTTATATTCACTCTTCGTTTAAGATGTGGGAGTATTAGTATGTCGCATCCATGGTGACAAGAAGTGAATCGTTTGGTAACATTTCAATTTTTGTAGAATTTGTAAGAAATGGATATTATCTTTGATATAGTTCGAAATAGTGTGTAGTAAAGTTTGAGGATATGGTCAATATAATCTGAAATGTGTTGTCAGAGTGCCGATTCCGGAAATTATCGATAGACAGGGCGGATGAATCATAACCGGTTGTATCAAATCGTGCATCTTGTGTGGGTGTGTGGGGTTGTTTGTTCTTTAGTCAGAGCTTGGTGGATTTATCTGTGAATAATTTTTAATGTTTATGTAATTTAGGATAGTGTAGGATGTGCCTGATTTGCATACATACACACATACATACATACATACATACATACATACATACATACATACATACATACATAAATATTATAAATATTTTATTAATATTATGACATGGAGAAGACCTCTGCGCTCAATGGCAAAAATGATTGTAAAATCTTATTGCCGAAGTTTAATATATTTTCCTTTTAACCACAAATTATTAAGGATAAAATGTTCACACACACAGAGAAAAAAATCAGACATTAAATGGTGAATTGGTATAAGTTTGGCGGCTAAATATTATTTGATTTAATTCTCTCTTCACTGTTGTTCAATAACTTATCGCGTTTTTTTTTCCAATCATGAATATTGATCAGAATACGTCTGAAATTAGATGTTATTAAGAATGCTTTGGAAATCAATATGATTGATAAAGTTCATTGGCATTAATTTTATCATAGAGAATTTATTGAAAAATGAATTGCTTTACATAAAATCAATACATTGATATCAAAAGTAATAATTCAGATTTCTCACTTGGATAGATTTTATTTTATTTACATTTAATTTTATTGGAATCTCATGTTTCGTTGTTGGATTTTGGACTCAGAGGCAGAATATGATTTACAGTGCGTATAGTTCTGAAACTATATCTATATCTATATCTATATCTATCTATCTATCTATCTATCTATCTATCTATCTCTCTCTCTCTCTATATATATATATATATATATATATATATATATATATATATATACTGAACCCACTATATTCCTTTTTCTTTGCAATTATCAGTTACTTGATAGAGACAAATACATTTTAGACTATATATTGTCAATATAAATTATATAAACAATCGTGTAGATATGTAGGGTAATATTTACTTTTTTCCCACACACACACACACACGCATATATGTGTGTGTGTGTGCGCGTGTGCGTGTATGTGCAAACGTTTTTACAAAGTTGCCATTAACCAGCTAATGTTAGTAAATTTTACAATATATAATTGTATTTCAATGATGAATATATCGTGTAAATTACTTTTGTAATATTAGAATATTATTAATTCGGTTTTCCCGTGTTTGTAGTTATAAGAATTGTCAGCTCTTTAATAGATTTCTGAAATGTCCCTACCCTAAGTCTTCATTTGTCAGACCCGGTGATACAAATGCTTCGCACGAATTCACTAAACACGATGCAAGGAATTCGCTACGATGAAATCATTTTAACTTGTCTGATATCAAGGTTTCGCTTTATGGTACAAATATATCTTTTTTTTTTTGAGGTCTCATCATTCACTTAATTTCTGTCATATAGCAAACAAGAAATTTGCGTATATCCGTATCTTTTGTGTGGGCGCATGATTTTATTTTCATTTGAAATATTTTGGGAGAACGATTTTAAAGAGTAAAATAAAGGATGTTTTTAATCCCATTTCGTCGATGACATTGCATATATGGCCGCTTTATTATTACAGCCCATATGTAAGGCGGACAGGTCTTGGGGGAAGAGGAAAATAATCTTGTGTAAATGAATAGCAGAGTGGGAAAGAGAATGGATGTTAAGAGGATAAATATTGCATACAACTAGAAACACAGGAAACTGTGGAGAGCCATCATCATACACTTCCTGAAAGGACACTGCGCATAAAAGAATGTGAATGCGTAGTCGTCTTGAAACACGCTGTGACAACGAATCTGCTATAAATCTCTTGTATAATCCTGTATATAATCGGGATTTTCAAAATGTAGCTTAAATGAGGCACAAAACCGAGAGTGTGGAGCACCCAGTGAGGATCGAACTCAAATCCTGTATATAATGTATATATACAAGCTTTAATTCCGAATCTTGTGTCCTTTCATGGCGCTAGCGATCATGGCTCTTCTCAATTTCCTATCGTTTGTAGCTCTTGATATATGTTCATTTCATCTCTCCTAAACATTGTTCTGCAATCCATTTACTCAAGCATGCTAAAGTAGGTTATGCGTTATTTTCCACCCTCTTTCCATCTGTCTTGTGGGCATCACACTTTCCAAGTCCTCTTATGTGTCCTAGAAATTTCAACTAATTTTTATGTTAAATTTGTCCTTTTTGTTTCCATTTTCTCTAAAACTTCTTCGTTGTTCACATGTTCAGTCCACAGTATTCTCAGCATCCTTCTGTAGAACTACTTTCCTGTTGCTTCAAGTATTTTCATATGTAATAGATTTTTCAGCAGTCACTGCTATAAGTTATGCATATATCTGGATAACTTTTGTTTGTAGAATTGAACGCGTGTATTAATAGATAACAGTGAATCTCTATCTATAAAAAGCAGGATGTGTGTGTGTGCACGGCCGCAATTTTCGACGGATTTGCACCAAAATTTATATGCATATGCTCCAAGTTAGCGGGGAAGGCCAAGACCTACTTTTCATTTTCCAACTCCCATCGATAGTGGAAATAATCGATATTTTCATGCTTCTACGGCAGTTTACATGTAGTTTGCGGCCAGTTTCTACTGGCCAGAGTGAGAGCCTATAGCTGGCTGCCACGAATAGGCAGGAAGATTCTATTGGCCAGCGTGAGAGCCAACAGCTGACTGACACGAATGTTAACTAGCATGCTAGCATGCAAAAAAGTCGATAGCTGCATTCGTCACAAGTGAGAAAAATTTAAATCTGCATGGCACTTTACTCCAACTGGCTCATTCGCTTGCCTAAACTCAACGTTAATTCTGATTCCGCAGAACTGGGTTAGATGTGAAAAAGTATTTGTTGTTAACATTCTTTTTTCATTCGGTTTTTCCAGTTACGAGTCCTTTTTTAAAGCTGATCGTCTTGTATTCATTTTGTTTAGTTATTTTTTCGTAACAGATTTAATGTTTAGTATAGAGCTTAGAAAAAAATCGCAGTGTGAGATAGGCAAGAAGTAAAGCATGTAGCAACATCAGCACGGAAAAGGGCACTCCTTTAAAGGCAAGGAAGGGCAAAATATTTTAAGTCAAGTGATAGCGATTGCTGTATGAGTCGTACGATTTTTGAATCAAGCACGGGCAACGCCGGGCCATGCTGCTAGTGTATGCATATTGTTAGAAACATATGTTTTTCTTCTTATTCTGAAGTTTTACGCTTAACTATTACTTGCGTATATCTGTATGCTCCGTTATATGTACCAGAGTAATACTTTTCGAGATGTGTCTATATATCGTCTATTTTTTATTTTATTTTCTGATTTTTCATACCAACAAGAGTCAACAGAAAGAACGCCATAGACGGCCGGGGAGCCAATATTTGTTCAGGAATGAATTACACGGAACGATTAGATAAAGACACGGGGGAGAGTAGTGCCATTAATTCTCCATATGGTGTTTTTCCTGAAATTCTAATCGTCTTAGATCAATAGTAGAACTCGCTAAAGAATGTCCAAACTGTGCAGAGTCGCTGTGCAATCAGTCAACGCAAACATGGCGACGAAGGTGAGCAAATCAAAGAAATAGATGAACTACAATGGAAGAATTTTTTTTCATTTTATTCGGTTTCTTTTATCGATAAATACATCCCTTTATTTTATTAAATGGTTCCAATTTTATGGACACGGATTAAGATACTGACTGGGAAAGCACAATTAATATTTATCATTTTCTCAAAAGAAATATTTCATAAGTTAAATGATATACCTGAGATGCACATGTTTAAATTTGTGAAAAACGTTTCTATCTCGTTAAAATGGAGGCGCAAATGGATTGATTTTTTACGACTTATCAACCTTTTGCAGGTTATTTAAAACCAGAAATTATTTTAGATTGTAAAAATATTTTTTGAGATATTAATAATTTACTATTACAAGTTCTATTAATTAATCCTGATGAATATTTCTGAGAGTTTTTAAACTTAAAAAATATTAGTAACTGTCAAATTGATACTTGTAAAGTAAAATCATAATATTTGCCGTGGTAAAGTCCATAAGATGGCAAAACGTGTCGGCTAAATATAGTTTTCCTCTAGTCTTTATTTTTACACACAGACAGGCACACACACACACACACACACACACACACACACACACACACACACACACATATATATATATATATATATATATATAGATAGATATAGATAGATAGATAGATAGATAGATAGACACACAGTCCTGTCACTGCTGACTTTTTCATTTTAATTGCCTTCCTTTATTTCAGTTTTCTTTTCTTTTTTCACATGTACCAATGTTATTATTTGCTAATATTTCTCATGTATATTGTTCTTTTATTATTAATAACATACTTATTATTTTATTATTAATAACACTTACAAAAACACGGAGCTTCCCCAGACGAATTCTGAGAAGACCATGGAGTGACTAGATGAGCAAAGAAGTTTAAAAAAATGGATACTTGAAGAAATCTTATTAAGAAGAAGAAGAGAGTTGACATTTCTGTGAAAGATGTTGAAGAAATAGGGCCTGGGGAATTAAAATTTCTCTGGACATATTGAAGGAACGTGGGTCGGCGTGAGACAGTCAGCCTAATGAATACGAGTTAATAGATGACAGGGACTACAGATGTAGTGTAACAAGAGACAGGAAATATTGTGAGATCAATGATTTCAGAGACACATCACGTTGAATCACCGGTTCCCGTACGATCACCGAAGTTAAGCAACGTCGCGCTTGGTCAGTACCTGGATGGGTGATCGCTTGGGGATACTAGGTGCTATAATCTGGGATGTTGCATGTGGTGTTAATGACACGGAATTGTTAATCGGGGTGCAAAGTTCCAATTCTAGTCGGGTTTGTTATATTCGCAAATACACTTGGCAAAGGTATGAATCCACCTCTACTACGCCAGCTTGCATCACTAAACCATTATTTGCAAAAATAAAATAAAATTGTGTACAGAAAAATTAGATTTCTGCATTAAATAACCCACAGAGGTGTTGATATACCGCTAAACAAAACCAACCAACCAACCAATGATCTACAGAAACACGAAGCGTAAGCGATAATTATTATTATATTTGGACTTTATGTTAAGAGTACATACATAGTTGTTTCTTTCTGTTTGTCGAGTGAATCTGGATATAATTAACGGTGTTTTGGTTCTTACTATATTAAGCACTGAGTGTTAATACCTTTCCTCCCAAACTACATAAAATGTAGTCGTGATTAATAAAATCTATAATTTATAGTCGTTATTGCTAACAAGTACAAAAAATTAAGTATCAAGTAAGTATTATAACAGACGGTAGAAAGTGGGATACAGAAATCCTAAGGATCAGAAAATGGCTTCCAAATGTGAAAGGTGTACTAAGAAACTGGAAGATCCGTTAAAAATAACGAAAAGGATGCTGAAATGCTCTGCAATATCAATATTCACTGTTGGAGATTTTTCTCATAGATGAAGATGAGATGCATCAGCGATGTAATTATCCAGAGAGATACTGAGAATACCATAGAATGTAAATGAATGTCAGACTATCTTTTCGGAGGAAAAATAAGAGGCTAAACTTTGCTTAGAGCTGCAAAACATAGCAAGTTGAAAGCCGTGATCTTCCATGTTCTGATGCAAGAAATGTAGAAATCATTAAATGAAATCTTATTCGTTAAATATATAACTCGGGGTCATGATGAGTACTTGTTAAATAATATTTATGATGAGTACTTCTTAAATAGTACTTATGATGAGTACTTATTAAATAGTACTTATTTCACTCGTTTTAATGAGATTAATTTGGTTATATTATTATTCGTAGTGACTATTACGTTGGCAAGAGTTAATACAAGAACATTTTTCAAATAGAAATATAACTTACTCTTAGAATCGATAAGAACGTCTAGGAAGTGGATTTTTATTAATATTTAATGCGTACATATAACTATTACATTACAAAATTTTAAAGTTTTTTTTTTATTTCATTCACTTTTTTAGCTAAAATAAATATATCGTAATGTATATCATAGAGAGATGGTTGGTTTAAGTATTTTGTTGAATATTTTATTTTCTATATTAACTATATAAGGGCCATGGGGATATTAGCTGTCTTTCATAGAAGACATATTGAGCATCCATTAACACAAAAAAAGCGTTAGTTTTTACACTATATTTTTCAGATTTCCTCATCTTTATTGTTACATTCACGACGTTTCTATCGTTTTACATTCTGTCCTTCTTCAGTAGATATTTGTTGGAATTTCGAACTGAATCCTTTATTTAGGCCATAGTGGGGGTAGTAGACCGTTCTAATTTCACGAACCATGCCTTTGGATATATCAGTTTCAGTTAATTCAGTTAATTAAAGTTATTGTTCTCTCCGCTGAGACCAGGGATTGAACTCTCAAGTCTTTGGATCATATCCCCAAAGACACATGGCCCGCTGTTTTCCCACGTGCGTATATTCACACAAGAAAATGCCGGACCACTTCCTACTGAATATTGCGCACCTAGCGAAAAATGTTTAGAGGCACCAAATTAACTGAAGAGTCCTCACCTTCTACCGAAATTAATCCAAGAGAAAGTTTATGATGTATCATTAAAACAGAGGTGATAATTCAAAAGAAGAAAAACTGCGGTAGTTTACGACGAAAAAATGGAGACAGAAAAACGATAAACTGCCTGATTAACACTCATTAGAATTCGATAGAGAAAAATAAAACTGACTAAAAAGGAACATGAAATAGAAAATACACCGTATTAATAAAATAGGCTGAAAACGAGTATATTTTTCTTTTCTTCTTCTTCTTTCATATTAAACTATCATAGTTGTTTTCTATCTTTATTCTCTTTTCAATTTTGTCAACTTTGTTTGCTAGACTTATATTTTGTACGTCTAACAAGATCTAATAGAGTCATATTCAAGTATTGAAGATATTTGTGTAATGATCTCTGGCAAACAAAAGAACTGATATAAGAAACTGCGAAGTTGAAGCAGAAGAAAAGTTAACAAAGTCAACGAATGAATGAATGAAGGTCTTATATTAGCATTCAAAATATTTTAATTAGTTATATTAATCAAATATAGGATTTTGTTGGGTATACCTTTTAGATTCATTCATAAATAAATTTTTTCTCTAATTATTTAGCATAAAAACGTATACTTCTCACAGGACTATATATATATATATATATATAAACGCCAGAGCAAAGAAACAGTAAAATATTTAAAATCATACGCATTAAAAGTGCTCAATGTCAAGTTGGAAGACCAGACTTGCAGAGCTGTCTAATGTTTAAAGAAATGAAGGCTAAAGAGAACACAACCGCGGTTTCGACCACTACGGTCTCCTTGTTCAGAACAAACCACCTGAGGAAACCTTAGTGCTCGAAACCGCGATATTGTTTTGGTCAGCATTCATTTTTTTAATATATATGGCTGATATACTTCAATAAGAACTGTCGGACTCCTGGTTGTGTCGGACTCGTAGTCATTTTTGCAATGTCGAGCTACGTAGTACGAAGCTTTCAAAGGTTGCTGTTTGAGCCGATATGATGCAAAATCTGAAATCGGCGATGAGGACAGGCCATCATGGATCACCACCCTTGATGCCTGTTGAAACTTGACTTATGCATGGAATAATAATGCAACACAAAATGTACTTAGAACAAAATGTATTGAAACAAGAAAGTGTACACAATATTTACATATAGTCTTTTGTATATTCCTAGGAAGACCGATCCTGGAGAATGTGTTGACTTAGACGCAGTCGGCCAGAGTCTCTGGATTGAATCTCTTGATTCCTCCCCATCTCTTCCCGGTACCAACCATATTTATATGGTCGGTACTCCACTATGCAAATTAGGTGGATCCTACCACAACAATGCCCCTAAAAATGTATAATGCAACTATATATATATATATATATATATATATATATATATATAAACGAGGTCAAGAGACTGATAGAAATCAATATAGAGTTAGTATCTCCAACTAGAAAGAAACTAATTTCATTCTAAAGTGCCGAAACTCATTTTATAACAACATTTTGGGTGATAAATATTTTATATGTACATTAATTTATGTCTTGCGGCAGACAGGACGATCATGTAGCGCAAAGACTGAGTCTTTACATAATAATCTTCAACAACTTGGCCTCACTACTCTTAATGTATGCACATATTGCCATATTGCCATATCCCAGATAAATGATCGAAATCAAAAGAATCAGGAAATATAATTTATATAAAAACATCTTCGTCTATATTTATTGACCGCCATTGCCTTCATCTTGACTTCATGATTTATTATTGTACTTCTAAAATGACACTCCTCCAGCTTTTCTTTCATTTCTCTTCCTTTCAAAATACCTTTCTCTTCTTTCAAGGCTTCTAGTTTCGCTGCCTCGCTACCACTTGTACGTAATCTCAGCTTACCGGACCTTTTGGCTAAGACAAGCCGAGTGAGATAACGCAGTGCCCATATTTCTCGCTTGTGTTTGTCTTTCATTTATTCTTTTCCGGTAGAAGATTTCACATTTCCGAATTATTTGCAGATATTCAATATGCATGCGCAAAGCTCCATAAACATTATACGCACCTTGTTCAGGGATATTCATCTGGTTTTGGACACGTTTAACAGCCATGCTAAAAATGAAGCCTGCGCAAAATGTGGATGGCTATGTATTTGTGTGTCTCGGCGTTATTTTTTTCTGCCGTTTCGTGGAGATATACTTATTGTCTATTTATGTATACGTATTTATATAGTTTCCACTATTTGGTGTAAATGTGTCAGTACATATGATTTTGTATGCTACTTTATATGTCTGTCAGTTATTCTTTATTTTCTGTATATGGACGTGGGATTACATTCGTGCTTGTGTCCATCAAAGAATAGATCTGCATTTTGTCTAAGCATTTGCACACTGTTCTTATCTGTGGTGTGCTTCTTGGTCTTTGAGCACTTACATTCTTTTCATGTTTGGAGCGTGTGTTTTTAGATATGATTTTATTTACACTTTTCTCTTTGCCACATTTGCTTTTGAAGAAGGGATGCATTAATGTGATGGCCACTGTAGCCCATTGCACTTAAAGTAGACACAGTCGCAAGACCGACGAAAACACAATGATATATTTTTCATCATCATTATCATTATTATTATTACTAATGGAAAAACAATACATCAACAAAGTGACGCTGGGATTCAAATAGGCGAAATCCAATATACACAGTCTGAGACCCACTCTAATATGAGTATACCAGACCCATGCACCATAGCCAAATATATGGTGATAGTTGCAGATAAACGCAAAGCATAACCAGTGTGACCCAGTTATGAATAAATTCATGTCGGCTATCCGGTGCACTGAGACGGCCTTTGATTTTCGGGTGTTCCTATATATTTAGATATCTCTCAGATAGTTTTTGGCTGCCTCGTCCATCACATAAAAAAATAAACTCATTCAATCTCTTGACACCCTGCTCATGATTCTCTCTTAATATTCCTGCTCATGAACAGAGATGCACAATGTATTAATCTCCAGGGCGACATACACCTATAGTTAAGTTGATGTAAGTTAAAATCAAATTCGTGATAACATATGGAGTATTTCCTCCAACCATCTTAATCCGCCAAGATAAAATAGTACATTATAAACTATTGAACTGGTCTGCAAAGCGCATCAAAGAGTGAAACTGGCAGTCAACATATAGTGTTGATTAATATGCCCACACTTTTTTTATTGTTTTCGACTTCTTGAAATTAATCTCAGCTTGAACGTTGCTT